CCCCGCCCCCCGCCCCCCGCCCCCCGCCCTCGCAGCGAGTACCCCGTACCCCGTACCCGCGCCCGCAGCGAGTGCGCCGCAGCGCAGGGTATGTTAGACAGCGTTCGAGCCCCGGTTCACTGCAGGCAGAGTGCGCCCCCCACCCCCCGCCTGGCACCACCCTGGGAGCGCCCGGGTTCACTCGGGAGCTCAGGCCTCAGCTCCAGGGGAGCGCTCCGAGCCACCCGACACGTCTGAACCCCTCTCGCTTGGCTCCGAAGCAGGTTCGGCACTAGTACCGTCACCTCAGATGGGGGTCGGGCCGGCCACACCCCTGCTCTCCCCGGGGGGCGGGGAGGCCTGCGCCTTGACCTGTTCCCTGGAGCCTCAGCCCCCCAGTGTCTCAGGGGAGGAGCGCGCCTGCTGGGAGCAGCCTCCCGACTCGGCATCAGCCCCCAGCGGCCCTTCTCCCTCCTCACCTACTTCCAGAGGGTCTTTGGGGACCTGTATCCAGGCCCAGCATCAGGACTTTCAGTGCCTGGACTTGAGATACGTGCAGTTTCCCACCACTGGATGGCGTGTGCTGGGCAGCAGTTGGGGACCCAGGGAAGAGATGGGGACATTTCCCAAACCCTAACCCACACTCCTACACCAGCATGCCCCCTCCCCGCCCCAGCTCCTCCCCGCACTGTTCACTTGCTCCTGTTCACTTCCTCCGGCACCTCCACACACCCTCAAGCATCTCCTCCCCTTCAGCTCCCCTTACCCCCAGACCTGCCCCCAGTGATCAAGAACTCCCCCAACGAGATGAAGCCATTAAGAGCATTAGAAGAATGTCCTGTTCTTTCAGCATCTCAGCCGCCCTCCACCCCCAACCAGCCAGGCCAAACCTTCTCTCCTTTAGCCCTGAACTGCATTCATACACTGGCTTACCCAATCCCCACTGCAGAGGACCCTAAAATTACTAGGGTCTGACAAGGATGCCAACTTTTTATCAAAAAAGGAAGTTAAAAGACAAGCATGGTCACAGAAGAACATTTTAATACCAAAAATGTGGGAAGGCCACTATCCCAGACTAAAAGGGAATCTTTAAATAAAGCACAGGAAGCTGGGGGGTGATGACCGTCCTTCCTGTCCCTGGTGTGGCTGACTGGCGTCCCCACAGCCACCACACACAGCCTTCCAACCTCAAGAGCCCTCGCTGACCAACCAAAACACCCCAGAGACCAAGGCTGTACTGTGCCCAGAGGTCAGGCTACAAGGAAGAGGGGCCCCCTTCGTGGTTCCAGGAGAGATGCGTCCTCACACCTCCACACTTCAGCCTTGGAGTCTCCGCCCTGGGCTGCATCGCCCAGCCTTCCGGGAGTCCCTCCCCAGAGCTCCTGCCCACAGTGGTCCTTGGGATGAACTATGAGGGACAACCACGGGGCCTCCACCACACAGGAGGGCTCAGGGAATTGGGAGAACCTGGTTGGGCCTTCCGGGAGGTCACTGGGGATTTTGAGAAGGCCCCTCCCAGCCCCTTCCCTGCAGCCTGTGCTTCCCCGGCCCACAGCATGGCAAGCACAAGCTAGAGTGATGCTTGGAGCATACCCCTCACAGTTGGGGTCACAGCCGAGAGAGGGGCCCAGGTCAACTTCCCAAGCCACCCACACACCTTGAAGCCATGGCCCTCTGGGGGCCCAGGCCCAGGACTGGCCCTGTCCCTAGCTGGCACACTAGAGAGCCAGTCACAAAGAAGGTGTTGGTGTCTTTGCAGACCCCCTTGAACACCACATCCTGGATAAGGAGGCTTCCCCTCCAGGCTGACAGCCAGGGCAGGGAGGCCAGAGTGGCATTTGGGGCCACTGCAGGGCCTCTGACCCGCAGCTCCAGCCCAGTCCTGCTAAAGTGGATCTGTGTCTCCGCCCGGCTCTATTCCGTTCTGCTTAATTCACAGCCGTGTCCTTGGACCCTGTGCCAGACTGGGCTCAGCTGCCTGCAGAATGGCGGCAGTGACAGGCTGTCCTAGGCCAGTCAGGGCTGCACAAGTCGACACCAGCATTTCTGAGACCAGCGGCCACTGTCATCTGGTGAGTCTGCCAAGCCCAGCACAGAAGGGGCGCAGTGGTCAGTGAGTACTCGATCTACAGTCACGCGGAAGGGGAACAGCTCGCCCAGCCCATGCCCACTCACCGTGCAGGGAGGTGGCCAAGGCCAGCCAGGCGCCCACACAGCCTCACCTCTCGGATGAAGTCGGGAGGTCGGGAGACTTACCTGCCGGCCCACGGCGCTTGGTCCACACCTCACGCCCACCCACCCGCTGGCCGACAGCACCGTCACCTGCGCTAAGCCAGGGCAGCGCCGGGATCGGCCAGCACCGGGCATTGAGGGGCCCGGCACTCTACCGTGTCGCACCTCTGGGCCTTCTGTGCCTTGCCAAGCAGCCTGGTGCTCCGAGGCTGCGGCAGCAGGGCTCTGGCCGAGAAGACCCGGTGAGGCTTGAGTCCAGGACCCCTCATGCTGCATGTGGGGGTGGATGGACACAGGGGACATAGCTCGAGGGCCTGTCAGCCAGGAAGCAGCACTGGGCGGAGCAGAGAGGGTGCCCAGTTGGGTATGCCAAGAGTGATATCCAGGACGATGCCCCAGACCCCCCTGGCAGCCTCCCAGCAAACTACAGGGCAGAGCTCCACCCCTGCAAACAGGCCTTTGCCCATCCCAAGCCAGTGACCACAGCGAGGTATCCCCCTCCCCCACAGGATGGGTGGGTGGCTGCATGAGAAGAGGGGTCTGCCTAACAGCTGCCTCCTTCCGTCTCGGGCTGGGCAGCCTGGTGGGGCCGGAGGACAGGGCCTGCAGGGCTTGGGCAGGTGGGCACCACAGGGGGCGGGTAGCCATGTGCCCAGAGCAGTGAGGGCTCCCAGCCAGCTCCGCCTCCCAGCCCTCAGGCCCTGCAGAGGGCAGGTGGGACCCAGGGGGAGGTGAGGCTCTGGCCAGCATGTGATCCGCCAATAGTCAGGGGCCAGGCTGTGGTTCCAAATGCCACCTTTACTGCTGGAACAACTGTGGTGCTGACAGGAGGCCAAGGCTGGGGAGCAGCAGCAGGGAGCTCGCGCTTGGTTGGGACCACCTCTCACTGAGGATAAGAAAGCTGGGCCAGACCCAGATCCCTGGACCTTGCCCTTTGGCTCTGTCCTAGGGGGGGCACAGGACAGCCTGCAGGTCCTTGGGCAAAGAGCCGATGGCTGTCTCGATGTACAGCTGTGCCCGCTGAAGCGTCGCCTCCTTCACCGGGAGCTGGTGGCCTTGTGCCTGCACCTGCAGGGGCAGTGGTGGTCAGGGGCAGGTGACTCCACATCCGGCTGGCAGAGGCTGGACAGGGCCAGGAGGCATCTCACCAGCTTCTCCCGAAGCTTCAGGACTAGGTCCACGACCTCCACTTCAGACTTGTCCTTCATCCAGGTCTCAATGTTCTGCTGGGAATAAGACGGAGCCAGCCATCACCAGGGCCCGCCCCCTGCCCGGGGGCCTGCACACCCCCACTTCCTCCCCCAGCCCCAGCTCCCCCACTTACCGCCTCACAGATAGCTTCAAGGTGCAAGGCCTCCAGCTTATGGGCCATCTCTCTGTGCCGCTGCCGGTACCAGCCATCAAAGTGGGGGGACTTGAAAAACCGCCTGTGGGGGATGAGATACAGCAGCCGTGGACTGACTCTGGGTGAGGGCAGGGTCTACACTGACCACTGCAGGGGCCTCAGGCCACCTGCCATCCACCCACCTGTACAGGCCCAGCCAGTCGCCCTTGAGAATGCAGGTGAGCTGGGGCCCTGCGTGCTCCAGGCTGCGCAGGAAGTCATCCTGGCGGAAGGGGCGGATCTGGGGAGGAGTCTGAGACAGGGACCTGGTGAGCGCGGGGAGGTGGGGGATGCAGCCTCACAGGCCCCGCACCTCGGCTGGCCAGGACCCTTCGCTGCCATACTCCTCAGCCACGTGAGGACCCCCAGCCCCCACCCTTCCCAGGACAGATCCTAGGATGGCCCTTCTCAGAGAGGAGGGCCTCGAGCCCCTCCGGGGTGGGCCCCGTTCTTCTGTCCTCTGAGGGATGTCTGGCATGTGTGGGGACAGCCTGGAGCCCTGGGGGCTCCTGCATACCCATGACCTCCTCCCTTACCTTCCTCCCGGACCCTCCCCAGATGCCACCTGGACCCGAACCTTCCAAGGTGTGATGCTCTTCTTCAGGGGCATGAGGCTGGCCATGTAGTGCTCCTGGCAGGGAAGGGGAGGGGAGTGAACCAGGGCCGTGGCCCTCCGCTCCCCTCCCCCTCCTGCCCTGGGCCTCACCAGGGGGATGATGAAGCTGTGGGTGAGCTCCAGGAGGTGCCGCCTCAGCGATGCCGTCTGTGTGTCCCACGGCCTCTTCTTCTGCAGGCCCTAAGGGAGCAGGGGAGGCGTGGGCTCGAATCCAAGGCAGAGCTTCACACTCCCCCCCCCCCCCCGCCCCCCCCCCCAAGCCTGTACCTTGAGCAGCCGCTTCAGCAGCGCCTTGTCTCGGTGGAGGTGGGCGGAGTAAGCCGTGTAGAGGCCTGGCAGGAGGGCAGAGCTGGCCCCATCCCCACTGCCCCCACCCCCTCCCAAGGGCGGGGGGGGGGACACCCCCCACAGCCCCACCTCCTAGGGAGGGCAGAGCCGGGCCTCCCCCCACAGCCCCAACCCTTCGGGAGGGCAGAAGTGGCCCCCAGCCGAAGGGCCCCCTCCTACCCCCCACAGCTCTACCCCCTCTGGATGCACCTGCACATCTATTCCCCTCTCCAGCCCTGTGAAGCAGATAAAGCTCCCCGAGAACTCAGAGCCTACTGCCTGGGTTCTGGAGGAGAGGAGGGCTCCCGCCAAGGGCACACACCTGGCTTGGTGTCCAGGGTCTTCAGCCTAGAGGGCTTTTTCAGCTTGACCTGCTTAGGAAGATCCCCTACGAAACACGGCGGTGGCTGGGCCTCAGTGCCGCAGCTCTGCCACTCACAGGCTCAGGGCCCTTGAGGCTCCTCTCTGGGTGGGCCTCTGAGCCCCTCACCCCACCTCCCCAGGTCCCCTGGGCAGAGGACAGGCCAGCCTCACCTGACATCTTGAGCTCTCCAACACGGAGGATGTGGGGCCAGTGCTGGAGTGTTTTGATAAAGAAAGGGTTTGTGACTCCCAGGACCACGTTTGGTCTAGAGAGAGGAGAGAAGAGAGAGAGAAGAGGCAGAGGCAGGCCCAGGGAGGTGGAACACGGCAGGCTGGGGACAGGGCACAGACGGGGGACTCACGGGGCCTGCGTGCGTGTGGTGAACTCCTTGAACTCGCTGTCATGGATGGTGAAATAGGGGCGGTAGTCACAGCAGAACTTGAGGGGCTGCAGGCAGCTGTGGGGCAGCAGGGCGGGGGGGGGGGGAGCGTGGCAGGGCCAGTAAACACGGCAGGGGCCGGTCCAGTGCCCTGGCCAGTCCCGCCCTGTGCCGCCCGGCATACCTGATCAGAGCCAGCACCAGGTCGGAGGCCATGGCGGGGGAGGGCGCCAGGACCAGCAGGGGCTCCCCCAGGAGCATGAGCTCCCACAGAGTCTGCACGTGGGTCAGCACTGGCTGGAAACACCTGTGCGGGGCGGGGGCGGTCAGGGAAGCCCAGCGGGGGCAGAGCCTGCCAGCCCTGACCCGCCCACACCTGGCACTGCCCTGGAGGGAAGGCAGTGAGGACATGAGGCCATGCCGAGGGGTGTCTAGGGTCGCCCCCCACTCCGCCGGCGTGCCTGCCTGGCCCTGCACTGCCTCTTGGGCAGGGCGGCTCAGTCTCCAAAGCCTGGCTCCCTCATAGACCTGCCTGGAGAGGAGTAGCCTCAGGCAGCGAGTATCTCCCAACACAGCTGCTCCCTCCCTGCACCTGACCTCTGGAACCTTCCTGCCCACCGTGCCCACCTCCTCTAGGTAGAGGCACCGGGACCCTGGGCTCTTCTTCGGTATAATTGTCCCTCATGGAACCGGCCAAGGGTTCCTTCCTGATAGGCGGCCCCTGCCCTGCACAGGCTCTACCTCGGGGGACCCCTCCCCATGTATTCAGGTAGCAGGCGGCAGCCTGCCGGGCTCACCTGAACAGGTCCAGTTCGTGGACACTGGCAAGGACCACTGGGGTGGGCAGCAGACTCTGAGACGAGGGGCGGGCAGGGTGAGGCCGAGGGCAAGGCTGGCATCCCCAAAGCCGCAAGCAGCACCCCTCACCCCAGGAGAGCACTGGGGGCCGTGGCCCCTGCCCTGCACCCCCCCCCCACCACCACCCCCACAGGGCCCCTAACAAGTGGGGCGGGGAGGCCTGAGGAGGTGGGAGGTTTGAGGCAGGTGTGAGGCCCCGGGCCCAGGAGTGGCACCCCCACCTCATGGCTGCACTGCTTCGGAGGACTGTATTCTGGCTTGTCCACCCTGGACGGGATGCGAACCTGGGAGAACAAAAGGAACAGACGCCAGCTGGGAGTGGGTGTCCCCAGGAACCTGCGGCCTTCCCAGCCCAGCCAGCCAGCTCTCACCTGGAGGACTACTCCCATGACAGGCAGCTTCAGGGTCTGCCCAGGCGTGGGGGCGGGCCACTGGTCAATCTCACCGCACACTGTGGACACAGGTGGCCAGCGTCAGGAGCCTGCCCCAAGCAGCAGGTGCCTGTTGAAGCCACTGGGGGCTACGGCCGGGATGATGAAACCACTCTGGCAGGACCTGACAGCCACTCACCCGCTTCCAGGCACGGTGCCAGCCTGTCGAAGTACTCAGGGGCAATGAGGCCCAGCAGCGCCTGGAACAGCCGGACGAAGGGCAGGCGGGATACCAGCACCAGAGACTGCGGGGCGCGCCGGGCCGGTGAGATGCAATCCCAGCCACTCAGGAGTCTGCAGGGACCCCTGAGGCCTGGCTCAGCCAGAGTCTGCCCGGGGCAGTATACATCCCACAAACCCCACAGGACACCTGTCCCCAGAAATGGCCCAACTTGGACCCCAGGCTTATTAGGAGAAAACCCAAAGCCTGCCTCTGACGAGACAGGGAAACCTCAGGCGACAGCAGAGTGGGGCTGGACCCTGGGCCTTCTCAGGAAAATGTACGTGGCCAAGATTTCTGGGGTGATCGTCCCAGGAGGCAAGCAGCTTTTGCTTATGGTGTCTGAGTTCAAGGTGGAAGTTCTCCTAATCTTGAAAGCGTGGCGAGGGCCCCTCCCCAGTCAGCAGCAAGGAGCAAGCAGCAGAGCCCATGCCCCAAAAGGCCAGCAGGAGAGCTGGGTACAGCGGCAGCCATCCCCCACCCCTTGCTCCCAGGTGGGGCGGCCTATGTGGCCCAGGGCAGTGAGCTCTGCCCAGTGCCAAGTGGCTGGGGGCTGCAGGAGGAGTGGGCACTACTGGAAGGTCAGGACCCCCAGCCTGTTGGTCCATCTGTCCTGATGGCCACCAGCCCTGCCTTATAGCAGCACCACCCCCGAGCAGCCAGGTGGCTCACCTTCTGGAAGTAGCCCCTCTTCACGGAGCTGTCCTTCACCTGCCTGAAGTACACGTAACCAAAGTAGTGTGCCGGCTCCCTCTGGAAGGGGAGCAGTGTCAGCCAGGCTGAGCCCACTGCCCACGCTCCGTCCCGCCCACCCAACTCCCTGCCAAGGCTGCCACAGCTCTCCCCAGCCAGGAGAGTCCTGGGCTCAGAAGGTGGGTGACACCTCTGCAGAGAAGGTCCCTGCAAACATGGCGGTCCCTGCAGCTCCGGGGCCTGGGTGCACCGGAGGCTTACGCTGGCCTCCATGCGCTGGGCCACGCCCTGCCGCACACGCGATGCACGGAAAAGCTCCAGGGACCCTGGAGAGTCCCCGGAAGAGTGAGCCTAACCCCAGCAGAGGCCAGGATGATGAAACAACTCTGGCAACTCCGGCAGGACTTGACAGCCAGAGGAGGTGGGGGCGCCTGTGCTGCAGGCACAGAGGGGCTGGTGGCGCTTGGAAAGCCTACTGGCTGGGCCTGGCCAGTGCCTGTCCTCCCACACAGAGCCCAGGTGCCCTAAAGGGGCTGCTCACACCAGCCCCGCCCTGGCCTGTGGGGAGAGGCAGCCACACTCACTTGCAAGGACACGGGAGCCCCACTGTTGTAGTGTCTGTCTTCCGCATGCCAGGGGCTCCTCTGCCCACCACACTGCCGGATGCGGAAGCTGAACTGAGTGTCTCCGAGGCAGCCTGGGAAGGGAGGCAGCCCCCACCAGACTGTGTCAGGGTGGAACCAGAGATGAAAGCCCAGCTTGCCAGGAAGGCTGTGTCCTAATTCATGCCCCTGAGAGTTTCACAATAAACACAGCACACAGAAGCACCAGGGACAGCCCCAAAGCATCCGTGCTGTCAACTAGCACAGGTGGGATACTGGAACACCCTGGTGTGGGGCCCGGTCAGCTTGCCTGGGACAGAAAAACAGGCCTGCTTGGACAAGAGCAAAGGCCAGGTCCCAGGTCCTGGTGGCCGCTGTGTTGAAGTAAAGGGCACCAGATCCGCCGATCCCTCTGCCCAGAGACCCTTCTTTCCACGAGACTCTGGGAACGTGACCACCACTGAGGCAGTATAGAGACGGGAGTGGAGCTGGTGGGGCTCTGGGACAGCCTCACCTCCCACCTCCTTCCTGTTTCCCGCCAGCCCCAGAGCTGACATCCCAGTTGGGGCTGCCTACCTGAGTGGGAGTCGGGAAAAGACAGGTAGCAGATGCTGCTTTTCTGAAACACAGGAAGCCCGGTGAGGCCTGGCTCAGTGCAGGGCCACATCCATTCCCAACAGGCCAGGACCCACCTCCTTGTCCGTGAGCCGGAAGTCACTGGGGTACACCAGCTGCAGGGACACAAGCACCGGGTAACATCGGCTGGGCAGGCAGTGCCACGCTGGTTGGCAGGAGTGTGTCCCTTGCCCCCTCCTCCTCTTCCCTGGGCTCCCTCCGGGCCCTTCTCAGCACAAGACCACACTATCCTTCCCCTGCCTTGGCTGCCACACCTGAGCAAGCTCCCCAACTCCCTCCTCAGACCCCTCATGCAGACTGTGGTTGGCCCCCCTGCCTCCACTATCTCCAAGGTCTGCCCCCACAGCTTCAGAAGGTGGTTTTCAGAGCCCCCCGTGGCCTCCTCTTCCTTCTGGAGTGTGATTACATGGCCCTGCTTGCTGGCCCCTGCCCCTCCTGCTCTCCACCTCCTGAACCCCTCTACTCAGCCAGAGTCTTGGGCTGTACCATCCCCAGACTTGCTCCCCTAGACGGGACTTGTCAACCTCATCTCCTGGTTTCGATTCAGGTGTCATCCGAGACAGCGGCATCCCTGCCTGTCAACAGCACCTTGAGTGCTTTCACCCCAACCTCTGCCGTTCTGGGATCCAGGAGCTTCTGGCTTGTGCCCCACCTGGAGCAAGAGCCCCAGGAGAACACCGTGGGCCCCAGCCATGTCAGAAGCAGGCCCTTAGTGATCTAGGAGGCAGGCCACGCCCCAGAGGGGCAGGGGGCTGAGGCTTGGCTCTCAGGCTCAGCAACTCCATGCACAGGCCCGTGGCCAGAATGGGTTTCGTTGTCGGGGACCAAAATGGCAGGAAGCCCCACAGCCCTCACCCTCAGTGGGCCTCAAGGGGACTTCTGGGGAGTTGGCGTACCGTGGGCCTTGCTGCTGCCCTGACTTGTGCTGTCAGGAAGAGGCAGTGCTGGGAGTCTACAATGGGCCAGGAGCCAAGGGCCTGTGTGCATGGGCCCCTTGCTCTGTCCCCCAAACTCTAACACTGAGGAGGACTTGGGTTTAAGCTGAGACTTTTCCTGGGGTGTTCCCTGAGCCCCCAGAGCAAAGCGCCAGGTTCTGGGGTTTGCACTGTCGGAATGACGTAGCTTCTTGTCCTTTTATGCTCGGGCTTGCTGCTGTGCTCCCATTTTGTCTCCTCTGCTGCACACCAAGTGTCCTGAGGACAGGGACCATGTCCCAGATACTTTGGTCTCCTGGACCCGGCAGGGACTATACCCTCACCAGATACAGTATTTATGACGTGCGTGAAAACACATATTTTAGGGGTAACAGAACAGGCAGGTCGTGTGGCAACTTCAAGGACATGTCAGCTAAGGAGGCAATAAGATTGAAGGGCATTTTGTCTATGGGACTGGACCCACAGAGGAACCTTGGGAGGGCTCGGAGGGGCAGGGCCACAGGACCACTCAGGCCAAGCCCTCATGTGTGTCAAGGCCAAGGAAAGGCAGGTGCCTGGCAGCTGGGGCAATGGACCCTCTGCACTGAGACCAGGGGTCTGAATCAGGAGTCTTGCAGCATCTAAGCAGGCCACCTTGGCCTCTGCATCTATGTCCACGGACCCCACTGGAAAAATTGGTGAGAGCACACGTTTATGGCCTGGTGCAATCTCTCCTGAGAATGGAGACCAGAGGGAAGGCCAAACTGAGCCACGCCTCGATGGGGGAAGAAGTGGAGTAGACCCTCAGAGAAAGGCAGGAAGCAAGGAGTCGTGCTGCCTGAGGAACCCATCCCCGTAGGCCCACGAGGGCCTTGTCCTCTCTGCCCGAGACAGTCAGCACAGCCACTGCTCCTGGGACGCAGTCTTCCCCGAGGAAGACAGACGTGAAGTGTCCCTTGAGAATGCCCAGGTGCCTCAGCACTCTGACGCCCAAGCTGTACCCTCACACATGCACTGATGCTTCCAGAGGTTGTAACGCACACTGTCACGGCACGCACAGCAGAACCCATGCGGGAAGCTGGCTGCCTTCTCTCTGGCCAGGTATTAAAAAGGTTTGTAGAAGTGTCAATGATGCCACTCCTTTCACTAAATTTTGTTTTGCAAAATATGGCTGTTTTCATGAAAATATTTATATTAACACATACAATATTTGTTTTTCATTTGGTTTTGTTTTTTACAATAGCTTAATAAGTATTTTAAAATTTTCTCAGTTTTAACTTCTGGTAAACGCTGATAGGTGTCGCCAATACAAAAAGCTTTTTGGGATCCTCGATGACTTTTGACTAGAAAGGGTCCTGAGACTGTGCAGGAGCTCTGTCCGGGAAGGACGTCAACACCACAGCGGAGAGGGGCTCTCTGGGCCTCCAGCCGAAGTTGGGCATCCAGGGCAGAGCCAGGCCCTCTCCCTGGCTGATCCGCATGTTCTCATCCCCCCCCACCCCCACTAGGCCCTGCCTGCCTTCCTCTCAAGTGGGACTCCTGCCTCACCCACAGGCTTCAATGCACCCATCTGCTTGGAACCCCCTCCCCGTATTGTGTCTGCGGGTGTCCTGTCCACTTACTGTCTGTGTCTCTAGCACAGAACGTCAGCTCCGGGGGGCAGGGCCTTGTCTTCTCGCTTAAGTCAGTGTTCCCCGTGTCCAGCCCCGGTGCTGCAGGGCCTGGCTGGCGGCAGCCACTTAGTACTTGGGTTTATCGGATGAGTGAGTGGACAACTCCTTGCCTTTGTTCTTGCTGGTTTTTTGAGGGAGGGGTTACCTGAAACAGCCCCTTCTCCCCTGCCTGGCTGCCTCCTTCTCACCCTCCAAGATTTGGCCAAGCCCTATGCCTTCCTCTGAGCTGCACTTGTCCATGGGGTTTCTGTGGGCCAGGAGCTCCTGGAAGGCAGCCTCTGGCTGTTCTGTCCACATCCCAGTGCCAAGCACAGAGCCGGGGTGTTTCCAGTGCTCAGGCAGTCCAAGACATCCTCAAAAGCCGGAAGATCCAGCTGAAATGACCCCTGATCAAGAGGCAGACCTGATAAAGACTGTGGCTGCACTGATTAAGAGTGACAGCCCGATTCCTGCAGAGACTTGATGATTTCGAGGGGCTCTGGGTCCCCAACATCCCCTCCCAGAGCTGTGTAGCCTCACCAAAGGCTCAGAAGCCCAGGCACACAGAGCCTTTAATGGTACTTGCTTAGAATTAGCTTTCTAAACGGTTAAGTTCTAGAAAAACTTACGTAAGAACGCCTTTTCTTGTGATTTTATGGGGAACAATTTGGGCAACAGCATGAGTGTAGGCTCTGTAACACTGGGCAGATCACCTCACCTCACCTCTCTGTGCTCAGGTCCCTCGGTCAAATGGGGCTATCACAGTAATGCCTGCCTGGTGGGGGTGGGGTCTCCACAGAGACCTGGGCCCTGCACTGGGATCCAAAAAGGTCTCAGGAAGGGCAGGCCCTTTGTGTTTAGAAGACTCGGGTTCCCCGCAGGCTCTCGGAATTCAGCAAAGGCTGAGAAAACATGCCTTCACTGGCTTCCCCAAGGATGGCTGCTGAGCCTCATCTTGGCAACTACCTGTCAGGCTCTCTGACAACCTGGCGACGCCCCTGCACTGCTCAGCTCCCTGGTGTGGGTCACCGCTTTCAGAGCAATGACCATTGTGACAGGCCTGCGGAAGACCTCCCCTCCCCGAAGAGACCACATTTGCATCTATAGGTGGAGGAAGAGAAGCTGTTTGAGGTGGGGGGGAGGGGGGTACAGGCAGTGGGGACGCCCAGGCCCGGTGAGGTGGGTGTGGCTGGCGAACAGAAAGATGACTAGTGTGGTTGCAACGTGACTCCAAGGGGTCCGGGTCTGACTGTAAGCGAACAAGGAGGTGTGGACGGATTTCAAGCAGGAGAAGCCACAAAGGTTGGACTTTGAAGGACAATTAGAAGGGGGTGACGGCAACAGAGGCAACGCACTTCAAATCCTTGTTGGCCCCTGGGATTCTGGCTGGAACAAATGGGGAGGGAAGGTATCAGGGCTAGTGGTGGAAAGGGGAAAGACGGGACGGATTTTTATGGGAAAGATCCTTGGTTTCCCCAAGTGCGGGGCCCCTCTCTCCTGCACCGCAATAGGAAGTCTTGGCAGTTTGCCTTTTTTTTTTTTTTTTTTTTTCTGCTTTTGCCGGGAGCGGGGGTGGGGCACCTTCCAGGAGGTGACAGGTGCGGGGCTTCCGAAGAGGAAGAGGCCACCTGGGGGTGGGCCCGACAGTACCTCTCGCGCGGGCAGTGCTCAGGCCGCCTGGGGGCGATGGCCGGGCCCTAGTCGGCCGGCGGCGACAGAGGAAGGCCCGCCCCGCCGCCCGGCCCCCCGCCCCGCTCACCTCCAGCGCCTGGCCTAGCTCCAGGTCGAAGGTGACCACACACACGCACTCCAGCCAGGCCGAGAAGCGCGCCCAGGGCGCCGCCGCAGCCCGCGCTCCAGGGGACGCCTCGCCCAAGCGGCCGCGAGCCCGGCGAGGCCCAGCGCCCGACAGCGAGTCCATGGCGGCCGGGACTGCGCCCGCCGAGCGTTGCCGGGGGAACGGCTCGGAGACGTTGCCGGGGGAACTGCTCAAAGGCGGAGGCCTGGGCGCAGGAAGGGACGGCGCCGCAGAGCAGTCGAGCGGCCGCTGCGGGCTAGAGGGGCCCTGCCGCGGCCTCCGCACCCCTGGCGGCCGGAGGAGCGTCGTGTGGCGGGGCGACGCCGAGTCCACCAGCGAGAAGGGCCCGCGCGGGCCAGAGCGGCCCTAGCCAGGAGGAGGAACTTCCGGGGAGGGCTGTAGAGCCGGGAGAGACTCGGGGAAGACTGCCCAGGCTGGGGTCTGGGCTTCCGGGGGCGCCGCGGTTTCCGGGGGCGCTGCCGGGGCGCTGCGGGAGCTGGAGGGGGGTGTGGGGCGGGGGCCTACGCGGCCGGTGTTCACGTCCAAATTGCGTAGTTGTTGACTACCTACCACCCGTCGGACACGAATTCCACTCTAGTTGTAACATTCTCTAGAGATTCCTGGTCTCCTCCCCGGGGTCGCCTCGAGGTGTGGGGTCCTGCAGAGGTGTCACGTCCTGGCTTTGCGTCCGGACACTGGAGCACAGCTGTTACCTGCGTGCAGACTGCGCCCACGCCCGTGTCTATCGCCTCTAGGGTCCGGCGCTCCCAAATATTTCTGTAACCCTCGTGGGCTACCTTGCACGCTCACTCAGGCCTGTCTGTCGAAACCAGATAACGCCTGTAACATGTAATTCGAGCCACCTGTGCCTTTTCATTTTCTGACACGGGGGAGAAGTGAGGTTGAGCGGGCAGGTCGCCTCTCCCTCTCTGGCCTCCCGTGTCCCTCTGGCGTCCCCTGTTGGCCGAGCCTTGCCTGCAGAAATGTGGCCTCCTGAAATGTGGCTGCAGAGTCCCCTCACCTAAGGGCGAGTTTGGAATAAGGACAATAACTGACAAGACAGGCCGTGTATATTCGAGTTGTATGAAAATCCGCTCCAAAGTTAGGCTAAGCTAGCCTAGGCTGGAGTAACAACCTCCAAGTCCCCAGTGGCTTTTTCACGCGTGCCTGGACTGGTGGGAGAGCTGGGGGGCTCTCCTTCATTAAACCCCCAGAATACATGCCTCTGAGGTCACCGGCAGCGGAAAAGAGATTGATGAGGCCCATTAGTTGTTAACCACCTTGGTCAACAGGTGACGTGTGCATCATTTTATTCACAGCCCTAGGGCCAAAGTTAGTCACATGGATACAACCTAACTGCAGGGAAAATGAAGGACAGGGATACTTGACGAGCCACACAATTATCCTTTACAATTATCATGTGTCATTGAGTTTAAGATGCTATTTTGTAAGTCACCAAGATAAACTACTACTACTTACACAGTGATGTGTAATCAAATGTTTTCAAACATTCTATTATGAAATATTCACAAATACATAAAAGGTAGATGAACTGTACAAAGACCATCCTTTTACCTACAACCTAGAATCTACACCAATAGTTAATATTTTCTTATATCCGTTTTATCCTACATTTGTCCTTTCCTGTCCCCATCCATCAATGCATCTTATTTTTACTTTTATTTATTAAAAATTTTTTTTTAATCTTTATTTACTTTTTGAGAGAGAGAGAGACAGTGCGAGCAGAGGAGGAACAGAGAGAGAGAGAGGGAGACACAGAATCTGAAGCAGGCTCTAGGCTCTGAGCTGTCAGCACAAAGCCCTACGGGGGGCTTGAACTCATGAACCATGAGATCATGACCTGAGCCAAAGTCAGACGCTTAACCGACTGAGCCACCAGGTGCCCCATATTTTTACTTTTAAAAGACAGTTATAGACATCAATGCTTTCACCCCTAAATACTTCAGTATGTGTATTATTAACTAGTAATCTTTAGTTGTTGTTGCTTTTTTTTCTTTTGGGGGGGAAAATTTATATATAATGAAATACATGAATCTTAGATGGGCAGAACCAGTAACCCAAAGAACTAGCGAGATACGGAAGGAACATTACCATCACCTCAGTTCCCGCATGCCTCTTTCCAGTCACTCTGAACAACCGCTCTCCATTATTCTGATTCTTTGCACCATGAGTGACCCTGTTCTAGAACTTCATAAAAATGGAATCATACAGTATGAAATTTTGTGTGTCTGGCTTCCTTCACTCACCATGTTTTTGAGATTCATCAATTTTGTGGTATATTTCATGAGCTCACCCCTTCTTACTGCTGTGCATGCTTCTATTTTGTGAATATGCCACAGTTTGTTTATTCATTATCCTGCTGATGGACAGCCGGTCTCTTTCCAGTTTTTGGTTGTGATAAATGAAACTGCTGTGAAGATCCCTGTACAAGATATTTTGCGGAAGTACATTTTCATTTCTCCCAGGCGAATACCTAGGAACTGAATTGCTAAGTCATAGCATAGTCACAAAGATTTTTATTTACCTTTTCGTTTTTAATTTTTAGAGAGAGGAAGAGCATGGGAGAAAGGAGCAGAGGGAGAGAGAGAGAGAAAATCTCAATCAGCCTTCATGCTCAGCACAACCCCCGATGCGGGACTTGATCCCACCATACTGGGATCATGACCTGAACCAAAATCAAGCGTCAGAAGCTCAACCCAGGTGCCCCTGTTTACCTTTTTAAAGAAACAGCCAGAAAATTTCCAAAATCAACCATATATTTTTAAAATTCAACAACAATGTCTTCCTGTTTGGTGCATATCCTTGCCAACATCTGATATTATCAGTCTTCTAAATTTTAGTCAGTCTAGTGGGTGGGTAGTCATATCTAATTGTGGTTTTAATTTGAATGTCTCTGATAATGGTGTTGAGCATTTTTTTTTCATGTGCTTATTGCCTGTCATCAATTGTAAGATGTATTTTGATTTCAGGTATTATATTGTGAAAAAAAAAGTGCATTTTTTAAAATGTTTAGTTTTGAGAGAGAGAGAGAGAGAGAGAGAGAGAGAGAGAGAGAGAGAGAGAGAGAATGCAAGCAGGGGAGGGGGAGAGGGAAGGGACAGAGTACCCCAAGCGGGCTCTGCACTGGAATCAGTGAGCCCGATGTGGGGCTTAAACCCACGAACCTCGAGATCGTGACCTGAGCCAAAGTCAGATGCTGAACCAACTGAGCCACCCAGGTGCCCCCCAAAATGTGTGTTTTACAATCAATGAAATATGGTACTTCAAAAAAGTTCCTCTGTGCCGGTTCACAGCCAATCCCCACTCGCTCTTCGGGTCCAGAGGTCCAGGTACCTACTGATCTGCATTTTTTCTCTGCAAATTGACCTTTTCTCAAAATTTCTATATAAATGCAACATACCACGTAGCAGGCTGGGTAGTTACCCTCAAAGATGTTCATATTCTAACCCTTGGAACCTGTGAATATTTTACCTTACATGAGGTAGAAGGGACTCTCCAAGTGTGTTTAAATTAAGGATCTTGAGGGGTGCCTGGGTGGCTCAGTCGGTTGAGCAACCAACTGTGGCTCAGGTCATGATCTTGCGGTTCCTGGGTTCGAGCCCCCTGTTGGGCTCTGTGCTGACAGCTCAGAGCCTGGAGCCTGTTTCCGATCCTCCCTCTCTGTTCCTCCCCCACTTGTGCGCACATGGGCTCTCTCTGTCTCTCTCTCCCTGTCTCTCAAAAACAAATAAACCTTTAAAAAATTAATTAAGGGTCTTGAGATAGGGAGGTTGTCCTGGATTACCTAAGTGGACCCATTGTAAGAGTCCTTTTATTTTTTTATTAAAAAATTTTTTTGATGTTTTTATTTATTTTTGAGACACAGAGAGAGCATGAGCAGGGGAGGGGCAGAGAGGGAAGGAGACACAGAATCCAAGGTAGGCTCTAGGCTCCAGGTTGTCAGCACAGAGTCCAATGTGGGGCTGGAGCTCACAGATTGTGAGATCATGACCTGAGCTGACGTCGGACGCTTAACCGACTGAGCCACCCAGGCACCCCTGTAAGAGTCCTTTTAAGAGAAGCAAGAGGATCTGAGTCAGAGAAGGCAATGTGATGAGAGAGAGAAATTGGAAAATGCCTCACTGCTGGCTTTAAAGATAGAAGAAGGTAGGGGCACCAAGGTGGCTCAGTCAGTTAAGCCACTGACTTCGGCTCAGGTCATGATCTCATAGTTCATGAGTTCGAGCCCTGCATTGGGCCCTGCACTGACAGCTTGGGGCCTGCTTTGGATTCTCTGTCTCCCTCTCACGTGCTCTCTCTTTCTCTCAAAAGTAAATAAATAAACAACAACAACAACAAAAAAAAAAAAAGACAGAGGAAGGGACCATGAGTCAAGGAATGTAGGCAGCTTCTAGAAGCTGAAACATTCAAGGAAACAGATTCTCCCCTAGAGCCTCCAGAAAGAACACAGTACTGCTGACACCTTGATTTAAGCCTCATTTCAGACTCATTTCAAGTTTCTGACTTCCAGAACTGTAAGATAGTAAATATGTGTGGTTTCAAGCCACTAAGTTTGTGGCGATTTGTTACAGCAGCAATGACAAACGAATCCATATGATATGTAGTCTTTTCTGTCTGGTTTCTTGCACTTAACATCATATTTTTGGGGTCTATCCATGTTGTTGCCTATATCAGCAGTTTGTTCCTTCTTATGAATAGTGTTCCATTATCTGGATATATTGCATCTTTCAGTCCACTCAACAATTGATGGACATTTGGATTGTTTCCCATTTTTGCCTGTTTTTTTTTTTTTAATTTTTTTTTTCAACGTTTATTTATTTTTGGGACAGAGAGAGACGGAGCATGAACGGGCGAGGGGCAGAGAGAGAGGGAGACACAGAATCGGAAACAGGCTCCAGGCTCAGAGCCATCAGCCCAGAGCCCGACGCGGGGCTCGAACTCACGGACCACGAGATCGTGACCTGGCTGAAGTCGGACGCTTAACCGACTGCGCCACCCAGGCGCCCCCCATTTTTGCCTGTTGTAAGTAATGCTACTGTGTGCATTTGTGTAAAAATCTTTGTGTGGACACACCCTTAGGTAAATGCCTAGAAGGGAAAATATTGGGCTGTGTGGCTATGTTTAACTTTTAAAGAAACTGTCAAACTGCTTTCCCAAGTGATTATACAACACTCAACCAACTGAGCCACCCAGGCCCCCCTAAATCTTATGCCTATT